ATTGAAAGACAATTATTATGCTAATTATTTGACTGGCGCTTGGATCTCAAGTTTTGACCCATGTATAAGTCGAGGGCAAATTTTTGGACTGATTTTTAAGTCTTGAAAGGTCGACTTATACACGGGAAAATACGGTACCAAAACATTTTCCAGACTTTCCAGCAAAATCAAGTTCAAGAAAAGTGCTAACAAAAAGTTACTGAGCAGCTTAGTTTGGTTAGGCCAGACAGGAAACTATTTCAATAGGTCCTTGGTCATTATCTCAACTAGCCAAATATGTCTTGCTGGGCTTTTTCGATCAGTAAATAAGCTTATGCGTTCTTCTTCTGTAGACAATATTCTAACTGTGTGTAATGTGTGTTTCAGGAACTGAAGAATGCCGAAATTGCCCAAAGAACGAATGATATTCCTCCACCCCTGCAACATGAGAATGTGGCACCACAGGAGTATTTTCAGCGTTTAGTGGAATCCTTTGAAGAAAGGATGCTGATGTACAGAAAACAGATTGAGATCATGGAAAGCCATCTTGCGTCATTATCACAAGGGCAAACATTAACTCCACAAGGTGTCTGTTCATTGCCGTCATTCATTTTCTGTATTGTATGATTATAACTTCATAGTATATATCTGAATTTTATCCTGGATTCAAAATCTTATGTCAAACATTTCCTATAATGTAATGTTAAACTTTTCTTTTGCACGTATTATGATACAGTATTTAAGCACCTTAATTATCTCCTTTACGCCCTTTGCTTCATTTTATTTACTCAGATCTCTCTGATGTAATGCACAAGGTACATGAAACCTTCATCGCACTTGCAGCTCAACTACATGAATTTCATGAAGCTGTTAAGGTGAGGCTATATGTCCAAACAGGGCTTGACACTAACTTTTCAACATACTAGCCTAGTGGCTAGTGATAACTTGGATGTTACTAGCCAAGACCTTTTTTTACTAGCCAAGCATTATGGTCGGCTACCTTATTACATGAATTTTGCAATTTGAGGGTGCACATATTTCATGACACTTAAATTCAGCAATTTTGCTAAAATTTTGTATTTTGAATCACTTTAACTTCGCGTTTTGGGTAACACAAAATTTATTTCCTTGGTAATGTTACTTAAAACATGTCTTTGAATTTAGTAAACTGACTTTATCAAAATGACGTCAAAACTAACAAAAACGCAATGGCAGTACTCTCTGTCAACAGTAACATAATGTGTTATGTTCCTGACCCTTATTCGCGTTACTTTAATTTCACGATTTTTTTTAAATCCCTGAATTCACAAAATTCTCATGTCGCGAAAGTTTCAGGTAGGTCCAATAACAACAGAAGTACTAGCAAGACTTGAAAACACAACACGAGAGACTCTCTTTAATACATAACATTGGTAATTATACTGTGTTTAAACTAGTTTCAAAAAAGTTCCAGTTCCCGAAAAGACTTTCAAGACTCTGTTTTTCTCTGAGACTTCCTTGGAAAAATATCGAGACCTCCAACACGTCACTGTAAAAACTGTCGAGACTTCTTCACAGACAGGCGCCGTAGAAATGTTTCAAAAGCAAAACAACTATCTGAACAATACTGTAAACTGTCGTTGGCGAAATTCGACTGCTAAAAACGGCTGGTTTAAATGTCGAAGGAAATAAATCTTTCTCATCTAGTTATTTCTGTGGTGGTAAGTTAACTTTGTGAGTATGCATACAACGACAAATCATTCATGTATTGTTATGCTAAATGGAATGCTATCCCAGGAGTGTTATCCCTTTACAGTTCCACACTATTTTGCGCATGAAAAAAATTTCGTAACAAAAAAGAGCATTGATGTGTGCTTTCAGAAAATGCGGTCTTGTTTGTCAAATATTTCTTTCAACAAAAGTAACATGTTCAGTTCCCTGTTTACGTACAACCCAGCGAAAGGTAGACAAACTTAAATTTGCGTACCTGCTGAACAGCACATGCCCGGTACATGATATGTCCACAATGAAATTCTGACCTTGTTTCCGAGAAAAGTGTAAATTTTGTGTTTGTCTTCCTTGCTGGAGACAGAAACTAGTTCAGCCAATTTCATTTTGTTGACTAGCCAAAGTGTCTAGTGGAAATCGAAAACCTACTAGCCAAAACTAAATTTCTACTAGTCTGTGGCTAGTTGGTTACTGCTAGTGTCAAGCCCTCTGCCTGCCTTATCCATTCTTAAAGCAAGCCTCTTTCCCTTGTAGAATTAAACATTAGGAGCAAATTTCTTAATCCTCCGCTGAAACAGTGCATAGTACATATTAAAGAAGCATCTTTTTGGAACTATTATAATATGTTATATTAATGATGATATGGTTCATCTTTAAAGGGTAAATTCTAAATTTTCTAATTTCTGTTTGTTTGTTTGTTCGTTTTACAGGAATCAGTAGAATACGTTTACTTTTATATTGATACTGTCTTTGGCTTACATGGAATGTACATGGTGTCTTTGTTTGCATCATCATGGATACTGAGCGGTTCATGGCTTGCTGGACTCCTTTCAGCATGTCTCTATATTTTTAACAAGTAAGTAGTTAAAAGAAAAGAAAAGAACATTAAAAAGTCTTGAAAGGTTTTCCTTATAGAATTTTTTTCAAGTGTTGAAAAAAGCTCAGCAACCTTCTTCCCTCTTGCACCCCCTTTAAAAGGCAAAATTTGAGACTGCATTTCTTTTACAGTGAGACAAAACTAATAAAATATTTTTTTTATTGTTTTTCAGGGATGATACTACAAGAATATCTTTTACTATTCCCCTTCGTGAGAGTTTTGGATTTCCATTCCTATTTGCACAGATAGCATTTATAACCTTCTTCTTCAAGAAAAATGTGTCTTCCCTTGCTCAGGTACATTTTGTTGTAATTGTATTCATTATAAGTTTAGGGAGGCATGGTGGCCTCATGGTTAATGCGCTAGTTTCCGGATCGAGCCGTCGGGGTTTGAGCCCTGGCCATGGACATTGTGTTGTGTTCTTGGACAAGACACTTTACTCTCACAGTGCCTCTCTCCACCCAGGTGTATAAATGGGTACCGGCGAATTTAATGCTTCAGGTAACCCTGCGATGGACTTCTCATCTCATCCAGGGGGGAGTAGAAATACTCCTAGTCGCTTCATGCTACAGAAACCGGTGATAGCACTGGCCTGATGGGCCAATTGGCTCGTATGCAGGACTAAACAACTGTTTTTTTTTT